AGACTTAGTATTTTGACTTCACAAACATCAAATATGAACCAGTGCTGCATTCAACATACCACATGATACACAAAAATCGATGTTTATCCATTTTTTTAATATTTGCTTTTAAATTAAGAAATTGAGTAATATATAGTACTAAAATTACTGACAAATTCATGAAACAGTAGTTCAATAAAATTCTGAATGTGATTCAACAAATGAGATGACATGGCCTTTCACCCATGACCCGTCTCATGACCAGGTTAAACAGGGTTTGATACTGAAATGTGAAGTCTCAAGTTCCTCTGTTAGCACCTGGAGGGAGAAGCGACTCCTTCCTGTTTTGGAAATCCGGCTTCACCCACGAAATACTAAATAAGCTCCATAAATATAGAGGAAGACAGAAACAAACTATTTTACATATTAAAAAAATTTTATTATGTGGTTTTCTTGCCCAACAACTTAACTAAACAGTTGGAGGACAACAAGTGCCCCCTTGGCCCATCATGACTGTCTCATTCATTTCATCAAACATTCACCTGCCTGTACCTAGCTCAGCCTTTCCAAGTACTCACCAAACCCTCTCTCAATCCTGTTGCATTTACACAAACTGAAGGCAATTAATTCCAAATGCTGACCACAATGTTTGAAAAATAAAACTGCCTAATTTACAGATGACTTCTACCTTGCTAAATCTTAAAACTGTTTTCTAATCCCTACCACACTTACCACTAAACATGAAAAATAATGCATTGATCCTACATATTCCCTTTATGATTTTGAATACTTCAATAAAACCACTCTAACCCTTCTTTTCTCAAGAGAAAATAATTTTAGGGACCTTAACTTGTCATCATATGAGGACTTCTACATTTCTGTTCAACAACGAAGTGTCTGATACTTATTTTAAGCTCTGTGATATTATTTCTGAAATGGCATGAAAGAAAATCAAATTGTATTATTTGTAAAATGTGTTTCTACTAAAGCCAAACTAACTACATGAAGCTTGCTTTAAAGACCCTCTCAGATTCATATTTTAAAAGGTAAAATTTAAATGTAAATATACATAAGAGGAACAAAAACTCGTATAACTTACGGTTTTCAAAGACTGATTTTTATATTTAGCTAATTTCCCTAAATTAGGACTAGTGTTGGAAATATTCAGAAATTTTAAAAGTTGTTTATATACATAAGGTTAAGTTAAGTTTCATTCTCTTCAAAATTACACTGACAGGCTCAAGAATGTGTTAAGTAAATGAAGCAAATATGAGATGATTAATTGAGTCTAAACAAGCTAATGCAATGGCAACAATGAACTGTTTCATTTGTACTTTGGATTTATTAATACATAAGTAATTCAAAAACTATTATGAAATTCTTTTTTGGAACACTTTTTGAAGAAATTTAAAATCTATAACATTTTCAATCTCAACACAAATTTAAAAGATTATTGATCTAATTATAATCAAAACAGATAGAGTTTGTAAAATGTTTAAAAACAACTGAACAGACAATAAAAATACATTTTAAATTACCAATCTTTTTTTCCTTTTGAATATATTTTTCACAGAAAAATTGAAAATAAAAAACTTCCTGATAGATTTATCTTTTTAAAACAAACAATAATTACCAGTTCAAAAACCAAACAAAGTAATGCCTCTAATATTCAATGAATAAAATAGTTAGTTTGCTTACTTTATTACTTTGAAGTAAAGAACTGTAAAACAATCCAGGAAGAGCATACAACCACAGGTACGTGTAGGAACGTATTGCATATACAGGAGAATATTCCCATGTTTGAAATCCTTTTCCATACATAAGGTAGTGTGTCTAAAACCAAGAAAAAGGTCTTCAAACAGCACTCAACATACAAATTTTCAACATGTTATAATATAGTATTTATTGCACTCTTAGTAGACAGAAACAATGATAAATATTCTCATGTACAGAATATAACTAATTTTATTAAATAATTTCTAGTTTCATAAATAAATGTGTTTCTTCTAAACAAAAACTTAATATAGTCTTAGTTTGATAAGTGTATCATAAATACTTTTCAACCTGTTTAAAATCCAATAACAATTAATTGTATGAGCATTGCACTGTAAAGTATGCTGACATAATTCATCCTCATGTAGGAAGTCAAGTAATGATAACTTATCTGTAAATCTTGGTGAGTTTTTTCTACAGATGATCCACCTGGATTTATATGAATGTACTACACCAGATTTATTAACTCGTGCTTCATATTTATCTACTCTACATTGTATGACAATACAAAATGAAATATGTTTTAAGTGTAATAAATTAAAGTTAGGAACTAACATTTCTATCTCATATGCAACATTGACCACATACAGTGCACATATATTACCACATCAAATTCAAGGTGTACAAGCCAAATTTACTGGAATATATAATCATCATAGGATCTTGTTTTAGTTCCTTATACATGCATTTCTTGATAATTTAAAAAATGTATAGAAAATAGTTTTAACCAAGGTTTCCATAGTTTGTGTTAGTAAACAGATATTTCTGGTAATTTTACTCGTACAACTTATCAATGGTCCACAATAAACAGTCTAATGAGTTTACTTGATAACAAATTTGTACAAGTTCGCTAACACATGGAATACTTATGGGTGATACCTTCATCCCACAAACTGCAAACAAAAGTTTATTCAAACTTGCTTTTCCTTCATAATAAATCTTAGAAAAGAAGGACTACGGCAAAGCTTTGCACACAGATACGTTGACAATATTCATTTACTGAATTATTAGTTTCTTGACACTGCCAAACACAAACATTCAACAAAACAAACTCTGAGAAAAGTTCTCACTATAAACAAAGCACATTTCATTAATCTAGGTAAAAGCATCATTAATCAAACTTTCAAGTCCAAGTAAGTTATTCTATAATATTTACTACTCACAGCTGACAGCACCCACTGCCAACTTTTGGGCTACTCTTCACTAAAGAAGAGTGGGATTATCTATCACATTATAACATCCCCATGGCTTAAAAGGCAAGCATATTCTTTGAAGGGTATTAGTCCTGCGACCCACAGATTGCAAGTCGAGTATCACAAAGCCATGTTATGCCAAAATTAGAACATCTTTTCAGATAATGTAGTATTATTGTGTTAACCACTGTAATGTTTTATTTTTATGAAGATGGTATAATATGCATTAACACTTTAAAAATGTTGGCTACATAACACTAACTAAATTTTTAGTACTTTTTATATGAAAAAACAAACAAACTTCCACTACAATCTAGTATTTTGGATTAATCAACATTGACAATATAGTCTTGAAGTAACCTAGATAAAACTCAAAAAAGTTAAAATAATGTTAATATATTCAGTATTATGAAACCCAAGAAGGAATAATCAATAAGAAAACCAAGTTTTACATGATGACAACATTGTTTAAATTCATAACAGGATGGTGTAACTTAATGAAAGGCATATATCATCTCTATTGGCAAATCCACTCATTGTTACCAAGCTCACATGGGTTTTGGATATATGCATCTAGAACTTTTTTAAAAGAATGCTTAGAACAGTGGAATATCTTTCAGTTTGCATAAAGCAAATATAACTTTTTAAGTTGAACCACTAGGTCTTTTTACTTCTGCATTTTAATGCAACATTTTGTGTAAACATATCCTCTGCTACAGATTGATACTATCCGAGATGAGCAATACTACTGTTTTTCACTATTACACTTAACTCACTTTGATGTATCAATTTTAAACTTTACAATAAATTACTTAGTATTAAAATAATGTAAAAAAGTGTTGTTTAACAATAGAAATGACTTTCAATCCTGACTCACAAGTTAAAGAAGTAGCAAATACAATTGCTAATGTCCAAACAAACATGTTATATGAAATCATCAAGGCTTACATCAGCTTGGAATTAAGCCATACGGTGAAATGAAAAGTTAAATAATATCAAATAAAATTAATAACATTATTCTTCTTTGCATTTTTTGACAGAAAGTTCTAAGTTACTTTTCTTAACATTTTCATCTGTTAAACTTATTCATAACTTTTTATTTCAATATGGTTCTATTGTCATACTTTGTACCATTGGAACAGTAGTCCTTGCATTAAAAGCAATAAATCACAAAAGAAGCCAATTAGCTATTCCCATAGTTAATGTAACAACAAATGATCTGGTATCATATTCTGCACTGGCACTTGAACTAGTATAATTTTAGATGTTTTATTTTACTGGAGTTTTGTTAGTCTAAACTCAAAGGTTTATATTTCTTCCATTTTACTTATTTAAAAAAAAACTATAAAAAAATTAGACTACTCATAGCATATTCAAACTGTTTGTAATCAAGTAAGAAAATTTTGAAATTCTCCCCTAAGCCTTGTAGAGGCTCACAAATTTTGGTGTCCAAAAATAGTTAATGTAGCTTTCTAATATGCATTTTAGAACAAAAAAAGTATATCAGAAACTAGAATAAAATGTATTAAAACTACTATAATTTATCCAATTTTCTAAGGATATAAATAGGTTAAAATAACTTCTGTTAGTCATTCAGAGCTATAAAACCATGATTACACGACAAGACATTTCTATCAAGTGAATACTCTCCAAACCAAATTCAAAAGAACAGTTGCAAACTTGATAGAGAGGATAATCTGCTTTTTTTTTTATTGGTTGTAAACATGTCCATCAGCCATGATATCCCAGCAAATAAAGGTGGGAGGTTGTTCAAATTTCAGATTCTTACTTGTGTTTAATTGGTTGAGAACTGCAGCAACCTATCTTAGAAGTTAGAAAATTATGAAATGAAGAACTTAGAGCTCAGATGCATCAAAACAGAAAAAAAATGAAGTTTGAGATTCTTTTAAAATATTTCTTTTTGAAATTAAGAAGTTAAAATAAAGATAATACAAAAATTTGAATTATTAACAGTTTCATGCCAAGTTTAATGACATACATTAATAATCAAACTGTTTAATTAAATTTTGAATGTAATACTATAAAAGTTCATGACATGTGCACTTTGACCTGCTCATATGGAAATAGTTACACAAATGTTCCTCAGTTTGCCTATATATCAGCACATTCAGTTGCAAATTATAGAATATAATTTTTAATTGCTTTGTATAATTTATTGGTCAGAATGTTCAAATTCTGTTGGATCATATTTAATTAAAATATTTGTCATGCAACTTTGTGTATTTAGCTAAACCATTTAATGACAGCTTAGTATAGATTTTTGTTTTCATCATAGTGTTCCCTGACAAAAGAAATATGGCTCTAAAAACATCAGTCTCTGTATGTTATAAATATAAATTTAGGTGTGAAACTTGAAAATAACTGTACATTTAGTTAGATTATTAATGACTGCTGTTAAGGATAGACCATATTACCTACAACATGTATATTAGCTGGTCTTTACCTAACTTAGTATTTTGTATGTCTTAGACATCTTTCCTATGATATAATCACTTTATGATATTTCATACAATACAAAAAATTTTAACTAAGATATAAAGAAAAAGTAATTGAATAAAAGTCCATACTGGCTCCCAGTAGTTGAAGGTTTCATCACAATCTGAAATATTACTCCATACTGCTGCACATAACCTAGCAGATAACAATGCTTTAAAGGCTGTGTAAGATGATGGAGTCCATGGAGCTAATATTTCTTCATTATCAACAGGCCTGCAAAAAAGGAAATAAAGAGGTAAAGTAAGAGAAGCAACACTTATAGTACTTCACCTTCTGGTTCAATGCTATTGTACATGTAAATATCATAATAATGCAAAGTACTGAGAGATTCTTCTGATGAAGCAAGTCTACAAAATTCAGGAACCAACTGTTTATTTCAATAGGGATTAGCAGACATGATGTTTTAAACTTAATTTACTTGCTGAATAACAATCAAATATTATTTTTAATTACCCACAATCTTGTTTTGTGGGGCACGTAACCTCAATATACATATTCTTCTGGAAGTCATCAAAAACTTACTATTCGTGGCTTCTGTTATCACAAATCAAGCACATATCCTGTAAATTATTGATATGTAGCAACACACATATAACTACACGTTCCATGACAACAATAATGAAATAACTGTATTTTGTATCAATGAACATTTAAAAATCTTCCAATGTTCTTAACAAATATTGGCACAAAGATGTACATATACAGTGTGTGTGCACTAATAAGAATATCATGTTAATTATTTTGTATGTTAAAAGAGGCAGGAACAAAAGATTACATACTTTTCTTATTGTGAGGAATATTTTTTTAAATGTTATGCTTGTTTGATACTAATTAGTTTAATATTGACATACAGAAAATATACCTAACAATAATGTTTATGACTAGATCCTAAGTAAGTTTTACAGGTTTATGAGTCACATTTTTCATTCCCATACTAATCTCTTGATTAGTAAATTTAAAAATTTGAGTTTTAGCAAATTTAAAATATCATAGTATACTTTTCAACATAAATGTATAACAAATGTTTTTGTTTTTGGAATTTTGTTTGTAACTTTGTGATATATGCCTTCTCTGTATATGTATATTAATTTTATCATGTACTTAAAAATATTTTCAAATTTTTAAAGTAATTCAAGGTAATATAAGTATAATACAGTTTATCTAATCATTGTAAGAATTTTCATATTTAATTTACTGCATAAACAATTATGAACAATGACAGGTGGAATATTGGGAGACTTTACTGAATACATGTATTGATTTTCTATTTCTAATGTTGATAGCAAAATAGCCTGAAAACATTTCTCTGAAAACATGAGTGAATTACTGATCATTGTAGTTAGGAATTCTGACATCAGATATACATATTAAAATTGTATAATCAGGAACATTGTAAAAACTTTCTTCCTGTATGCCATGTTTTACTTTTCTACAGTACCTCAGATATGTATCAAGCCATTTGCAGTTTTTGAGATCCTGTAAATTTCATTACTTAATTATCTAATGATATTAATCTGACAGCATGTTTTACAGCATTCTTTTTATTGAAAAATGTGCAGCTTTTAATCTTCATAGAAGTAATTCAAATATTATTTAACTCTGAATATCAACTCAATTTTTAAATGGTATATTACATCAACATTTTTATTATTTTTTAAACAAGGCAGACAATATTGATCTTCAGTAATTCTTTTATTTTTGTTAATTTTTTCTACAAAAATTATTCCTCCTTTTATTAAAAAGCTTTATATTTTACTAATCACAATTGTTTAGGTTTATTTTTACACAGTTATACAAAACTTTAAACCATAGCAGTTCATTCCCCCTATCTATGTAAATATGTTCAAAAAAGCTATTGACAGATATTCAAATAGTAACAAAAAGCTTTTGTTTTTAGGTGCTGTTTTACTTAAATTCAATCATATACGATAAATATAAATCATATTCAATAAATAGTTACCTATTTCTGTTGATAGTAGGATAATTTGTCCTGCAGTTATTTTATTTGTACTTTCTTTCTGTATGTTCAACACTCTGACTGAGTACTGTTGGTCCTCTATGTTTTTTGTAAGATTTCTTGTATTTCCATATTTCCTATCATTTAACTCTCTTCCTTTTTCAAAATAATGATACACAAGTATAATTTATTCATTCACATAATTTAAAATTAGAACAGCTAAAACTTGTGTTTTATTTCTCCTACTTTTAATTCTTAAATTATAATTCATTAAAAGCTTGCTTAAAAATTCTGTCTGCTCTTGATACCTCTGTTTAGATCTTGGGCAGTTTAATGTGCATTTTGATGCCACCATAAACCACTAACTCAGCTGATCTCTTAAATTTTACCAAAATCCCAAATAATGTGATCGTAGAAGCTGATTCAGAATATTTTAAATGGACATTTAGGGCACTTAACCCTATAAAAAAATAGGTCCTTGCACAATACAATTATATGCCTAATTTCACAAACAGCAAATTTTCCTAGATTATGTAATATGCACATTAGATATAATATTTTTCTGTTAGCTTATAATGTTAATCAAAATTTCTGCTGACCATTTGTTATTTCTCAAACTATTTTATTATTATCGTAATTCGTTATATTATTTATAACAGAAATTGTAACCACATACATTTTTGATATACAATAAGTAAACATAAATATAGAATAACAATAATGTGGTGTGTTTGACACACAAGTTACACTAAAACCAAATAGACCTTAATATAAGTATTTAGTTAATGTCTCACACTGCTTTTTTCTGGTGAACTATTTGTGGTGCACTTTTATTGCTATTCTTCTTGTTTGGAGCAGCCAATTTTCTTGCAACAGCTCCTCGACTTCTTGCAGGGGCCATAATTTGATCCCACTCAAGTTATTTTTATTTTTGATGCTAGATAACCTATGAAAATAAAAATAAACTATTATACGACCAACATTTTATATCTCATGTCTAAAATGGAGTGAAGTAACTTATGATTTCCTAACACAGAAAAGTTAGCAAATCATTAAATAAAAGAAATGTATATATATTAATCCCAATATTAGACATACCTATAAGTAAATGCTTCTTTTGTCCTGCATATCAAAACTATTGAGATTAAATTCAATTAAAGTTATATTTTCTATAACATGCAGTAGTATTCATTAAATATTTCTCACTGGTTTTTGGTTGGTGTTTGTATTATTCTGCTGTAGCCCTTCATAAGCCCACCAACTCAACAAATTATCAAAACAATTTATTAAAATTACTAACCACTTAAACATTTGAAAGCTTTAAAATACTAACTTAAAACGTGATTTTCCATAAAATATCTTTATCTTCGCTTAAAATGTTGTAACTTACTACAACTACTATCCAAACTTGTATTTCTGATCTTTTCCATTTGGACAATATGTACACCTATGTACACCCAATTGGTGACATCAATCATACAACCTTGAGCTAGCATAAGTATAAACTTATTCCCTGTGTTTTATCTATTAAAGGTTTGTATTCCTTTGCTAAAATGGCTTCTTTTATTTTACATTTATTAATATTAGGTTCTTGACAAATAATTTTAACAATTTTACTTTCATTACAATGTTCTGTATTTTTGAAATGTTGGTAGACATGTGACAGAACATGTCCACGATCTGCTATTCTAGTATATAAATTTCAACCATCTCCCCTATATATAGATTATTACGGTCCATACATGTTGGTAGACACGCAGAACATGGACATGCTCGGTCACTATTCTAGTATATAAATTTTTATCATCTCCCCTATATATAGATTATTACAGTTCATACATTCTACACTGTAAACTACTTCTCTCTCAATAGTAGTTGGTTTAATTTTATTGTTAAAGATTATATTCTTTTTTTTTCCTGGTAAAAATACACATTTTCCTACAACTGGAAGCATATGCATCCTTTCTACTTCTTTCCAGTCTTTTTATCATATTTGATTGGCCAGGTACATCAGGAATTACACAATAAACCAAACTATCTGAATGATTTTTCATTTTTTTCTATCAACTTATCAGTTCTTAAGTATTTTTTAACCACATTAATAGGATAATCATTCTTCTTCACCAGTACATTTTTCAGGTAATGTACTTCCTTATCCAGCTCTTCTTTCGAACTGCAATTAGTTTTTGCAATAGTTAATAACATTTTTACAATCCCTATTTTTTCAGATTTGTGATGAGCTGACGACCAGTATGAGTTTCCTTTCTAAATAGCTTTTCTTTAAAAGCATTATTAACCTTACTAACCATAATATTGAGAAAAGATAACTCACCTTCATTCTCATGGGTAAATTTGATATTAGGGTGTAGTGAATTTAAAAATGCTAAAAACTGTTCAACCATTTGTCCAGAAACAAACCCAGCAAATGTATCGTCAACATATTTGACAAAAAAACATAATCTTAGATTAACCGCACTTTTAACTTTATAATTCAGCATATTAATAAAGATATTAGCTAGAATAGGAGCTAATGGACTGCCCATACTTATTCCCTCAACCTGATCATAAAATTCCTCATTAAATTGAAATACAGTTTGTGTTGTAAAAATTATCATTAATTTTAAAACTTCTGAAGAAAGTTATGTTATTGGATTTTCATCTTGTATAAAACAAGCAAGAGCACAATCAATAGATTCATTGATTGGTACTTGTGTAAATAATGAAACAACATCAAAACTAACTAAAAAAACTACAAGGATTGATGGTACCTAATAAATTGGTAAAATGTTCTATATTTTGTATAACACATTCTCCCTGTAATGCATAAGGTCTAAATATCTAGGATAAAAACTTACCTAGGCTACAGTCAAATGCTCCTCTAGTAGATACAATAGGTCTGAGAGGTACATCTCGTTTATGTATCTTAGGCAACCCATAAATGTAAGGTATTTTTGTATCACTAGATTTCAAAAAATTATAGAGAGAATCACTTAATAAGTTTCTGGTTATATGGTTGACATCACCAATTGGGTGTACTTAAGTGTCATGTACAATTATGCTCAATACCTGATGATGCAACGTTAACTGTGGCAAAACATTGTTTTTAAATATATTTTTCTATCCCATTTCAGCTGTTTTTGAATTTTAAATTTTGTAAAGTGTAGGATACCTCCAACATTTATATATTTATAACTATGATTTTCGCTTTAAAGATCTTCATGGTTAAGAAACATGCAGCCTTATATTACTTTCTGAAGCAGAAGAACTAGTACTAGTTGTACTACCACTAGTAGCAGTAATGATAAAACAGTAGAGGAAACTCGACTTAGTTTTGTGTGTTTAATTTAAAATATTTCAATATTAGGCTTAAAGTTAATTTTTTCCGTGAGAAGCCTATGTCGTGGACGGTGGAGTGGTAACGTTGATTCACTGTTGGAAGTAATGACTTGATAATGATAGGTAACGGCATCTTTCTCGAAAATACGCAAAGGATTAGTACGATGTCTTAGCCCTAATTCAGCAATCGGATTACAAGTTACAGTATTAATTTATATTATAAGAACTTAATAATTATACGGACTGCAAAGCAGTTCAACTTAACAAAAAGAAGACATTGAGTTTGACATTAGTTTACACAACTTGCAAACTTAGTTTACAGTTTACACGGCTATAGTTTACAAATTAAATTATGACGTTATTCAACTGATCGAGAACAGTAGCGATAACAGAAGTCTCAGTATACTTTCTAAAATTAATTTTACTCTGCTGCTTGACGTAAATTACGAATAGTATTACTATTAGTACACAAGAAAAAAACTTTTCAAGTCCTACTTACACTGTAACATCAACATGGGATTATCGCTAGGTTTATTATGACGTCCTCTAGTGTATAATTACTTTAAAACAATATTAGTTAATTATACTTTTCTTAAGACATTAATATTAGGCTTATTGTATATTTAACACTATATTCTTTATCTAGTCTCCAAGAGATTTTCAAGAATCTAAAAAGTGTATAATCATAGTATACCAGCTACTCTAGATTTATCATATCCACTGCTTGTCAACGCTTTTCGCTTAATCTACAGCTCTTCAGGCCGGTTGGGATACAATAAATACAGTAGTGGTCGGAACACTTTATACTTGTAACAATAACAACTGTTATTCAGTGAACGCCTTTTACAAGCTGTTGTTACAAATAGCTTATAGAAATAGTGTTCTGACCACTACTGTGTTTGTTGTATCCCAGCCAGCCTGAATAGCTTTGGATTGAGCGAAACTCGTCATCGGGAATGGATATGGCAAAATTATGTAATTGGAATACTGATATTATACACTCTTCTAATTCATGAAATCTAAGGAATTAGGTGAAGAGTGTAGTGGTTAAAAGTATAATAGACCTAATACTAATGTCTTATTAGAAGTATAATTAATTATTATCATGCTTCGCTATTAGAAAAGGCGTTCACACCATAATAATAATAACATTAGCCTTCCTGACTAATAAACATGTTGATAAACATTACAATTAATTAGGTTGAAAACCTAGAAGGATGCTTCTTGCAATTCTACAAACCCCCGAATAAGAACCATAAATCGAATATAACTGATTAATTTAAAATATAATGATACATATATAATGAATAAAAAAGAAACTGTCTAACTAGAGCTTAGCCCATCTTTCCAAATCTTAACCTTATGTCCTCTCGTTCTATTGCACTCAGGATACATTACAAAGAAATCAGAGGCCCTTAGTATCCTATCTATCCCCCAAATAAACTTGTAAACTTCAATAAGATCGCCACTTATTTTTATTTTATTAAAAGAAAATAAATTAAAAAATATTTACTTTTCTCCACAATCCGACCTTTCTATCCTCGGAATCATCCCTGTAGGCCTCTTTTGAACCCTTTCCAATAAGTCAGTATCCTTTCTTTAAAAAGGAGATCAAAACTGGACATAAATACTTAGAGCTGGAATTAACCAATACAGGGCTCTAGGCATGATATAATATACTCGGCAATAAAAACGTGAAAATAAATATTGATAGTGAAATATCTTTTATTCATACTGGCGATCTACCTCTTACGTATCTGCTTGTTTGTTTGTTTGTTTCCGGTAGAAATTCTTTTCGAGAATCTGCTTCAGACATTTTTACTTGATGGAAACCTGACTTTAAGTACAGAGTTGAAAACCACCTGGCTCCACTTAGGGCATCAAGAGTATCATCAATTCTTGGCAGTGGGTATGAGTCTTTTTCGGTTACACTGTTAAGAGCCCTGAAGTCCACACAGCAACGTTGGGTCCCATCCTTCTTCTGGACTAACACGACGGGAGCTGACCAGGGACTATCTGATTTCTCGACTATCCCTTCCTTAATTAGACCATCCAAGACCTTCTCTATCTCTTGTCGCTTTGCTGGAGCTATTCTCCTCGGAGGGATCTTTATTGGACGGTGATTGCTTGTGTTTATTCTGTGCTCTACAAGGTTTGTGCAGCCAAGGTCATGATCTCCGTTTGAAAAGACGTCTGCATAATTTGCCAAAAGTTCCCTAACCTAAAGAGCCTGTGATGATAACAAATAGACTATGCTCTTCTTTTAGAGGTCAATTAATTGTTCTGGGAGAGGATGTCCTTTATTTATGGTTGTATTTCTTGCCTTAACATTGACTTAACAATGCCCCTTCCTTAAGTGTCTGCTTACATCTAAAGAAATTAGCCACTGTTATGGGTACTCCTTGGTGCCCTGCCACAAGTGACCTTCCAATCTTCACGTCTGCTGGCCTGGATGGGTTTTCCATTGCTTCTACAATGCTTCGAGCTTCCTTGGGTATGTTCTTTTATTCAACCCCAAAT